GCATTTTACCTAAAATTGCAGCTTGCTCCCACTTCACACCCATTCTACACTCGGCTTGCTGTCTTGTTCCTCTTAGCCCTTATCATCATCTAACTCACCACCTATTTTAGTTACCTTGTTGGCTGTCTGCGTCCCTCACTGGAATGTACGCCTGAAAGGCGGGGACTTTGTCCTGTTTTGGTCTGTATCCCAGACCCCTAGAACAGAACCTCCACTGAGTTCATGTTTGTTGAGTGAATGAATGAGGTTTTTCAACTTTCAACCCAATTGCCGCGTAAGATGGGAGCTCACCCTCTGCTTCTGGCAGTAGGTGTGTAGTTAGCAACAGTCACCGACCTGAATGTCCATCAGCGAGCCCGGTCAGTGGACTTACGGTACACACGGAGAATAAGAGACTCAGCTGCTACAGAAAGAAATAAGGTAGATTCAATGTACTTAAAATGCAGTCCACAGACGTCTGATCATTGTTTTTGTAACATGAAGGTGGCACTTGCCTTTTTCAGTGTGTTGACATTAAAGCCTCTCTTCCTACTAGTATTGTTTATATTAATGTGTCACAGGTTTATTCTTGTTATTTTTTGAAATAGCAGATTTGTTGAATTATAATTGACATACCATAAAATCCATCTTTTTTTAAGTTGACAATTCTGTGGTTTTTAGTACATATTCACTGGGTCGTGCAGCCCTCACCATGATCTAATTTCAGAATATTTTCAATGAAACAAGAAACTGAACAAAGACACTTTTTAGAATAAGGACCTGGCAATTAAGTGCGTAGCCCTATCCTTAGAAGTCAAACTCTTCCTCTACGACAAAGCAAGGTCTTGAAATTTTGAAAGAAATTGACAACCCAACGGCTGGCAGGAGGGAAGGCCGGCAGGGGTGGAAGCAGCCCACTTCAGCTCTTGTGGAAGGCACATCCCTTTCTGGAACTTAGTGTACTCAGACCTCTCTGGGTCTCTAAATGAAAATGTGACTTGTAGGACAGCACTTGCCAAAGGGCCCAGAGACCTGTGCTAACCCATCTGAGTCAAAAGACGTATCTTTTCTTGTCCAGATGCCATGGAACAGACTAGAAGAGCCTCAGTCCTGCAGGGGTTTCCAGGGAAAGGGCTGGCAGACTGTACCTTCCAAAGGTGGCCCACCAGTAATTCTCCCATCTCACATGCTCTCCTTACATATGATGCTGACACTCCTTCACGGGGAGGTGGGGTCCATGCTCCCTCTCCTTGAACTGAGAAGACCTTTGTGACTGTCTGAACCAGTAGAGTTCAGGAGTGACTTCCAAGACTAGACCATAAAAGGCAATACAATTTCTACCTGAGTCTCTCTCAGGATGTCCACTCTTAGGACCCAGACGCCATGTTGGAAGGAAACCCAAGGCATGGGTGTTCCGAGTGGCATTAGCCAGTATCAGCTCCCGGATGTAAAAGGCAATGAGACTTCAGATGATTCCTGCCCCTAATCTTGGCACTGCCACCACTGGCTCCAAAGGGATCAGAGAAAAGCTTTTCCCAGGAAGCTCTGCCCAAATTGCAGATTTGTGATCAAAATAAATATTGTTGTTTGATGCCATTGGGTTTGGGGATGGTTTGTTGTGCAGCAATGGAAAACTGAACAAGAAGCCTTGCAGTTAAGACACTGACAAGATTTCCTCTATGGAATGGGCAACCTCCTTTAGGCACCGCACAGGGATGTTAGTGAAATGAATGAGCTCCTGGGATCACACGAGAGCAAACACCTTCTGCTTCTTCACAGCTGAACTGTCTACCTCCTTATACATCTTCCTTGTAAAGTATTATATTTATTTTCTGATTATAATCGCTTTGTAAATTCATTGTAGAAAATTCATGAAAACAAGAATTAAATAAGGAAATGAGAATGATCTGGACTCCTAGCATTTGCGCTGTCAGTAACTGGTCCATCTCCTTTAAATCTTTTTTCTGTGTATAGAAATTTAGCCTACAAACCACAGGTCAGATTGGCGGTGATGTGACATTGGCCAAGCAGTCACCAGCTAGGTCTTGGGTTCCTTGCCGGGTGCCCAGCTGCACCTTGGAGAAGGGAAGCTGGAGAGCACGGTGTCTGGGTCACTGGGAGGGTGACCCACCAGACACTGGGACTTCATCCAAGGGATGGCCAGGTGTTACCCAGGGAGCAGGGTAGGCACCTGCACCACTGCTGCCTGGGCTGGGCCCAGCCTAAGAGGGGCTCCATCCCTGTCCCCACAACCTCAGTGGCAGGGAGGCTGAGTGGGGCACCTGGTGGGCACAACCCCCAACCTCTGCCTAGTGCAGGTGAGGAGCTTTTTTAAAAAAACAAACATTTTTATTGTGATCTGGGTGAAAGTTTACAGAGCAAATTCATTTTCCATACAGCAGTTCACGTACACTTTGTCTTATGACATTGACTAAAATTCCATCCTAACGTAACAGCTTTCTTCCCACTTCCTCCCTGTAGTTACCTCTTCCCCGTGTCCTTCTTTCCTATGCATTCCTGCCCCCTGAGCTGTCTCCCTGTGCAAACACTGCCCATCTGTTCTCCCATGATTGGTTGTTCTAAGGAGCGTATCTACCTGACACAAGTGTTCACCCTGTATGTCTGTCTGTCATTTGGCTGGAAGCCATGAGAATGAGTTCAGTTCCAGACCTGAAGTGTACCAAGGGGCCATCGTCTCAGGGGTCTCACCAGGCTCTATCAGACCGATAAACCTGGTCTGTTTTTTTTCTCATGATTTTTAGTTTTGTTCCACATTGTTCTCCCACACTACCCAGGATCTCCTGCACTGAGTGCAGGACACTGAGTGGTTGACAGTGGTAGCTGGGCACCATCTAGTTCTTCTGGTCTCATGGTCACATAGGCTGAGGTTCACATGGTCTACTAGTCCCCTGGAGCATATGTTTTTCGTTTTCTTCATTCTTCTTTGCTCTGGATGAGAAGACACCCACCGTTGCATCTAGGTGGCCACCTGCAAGCTATTAAGACCCCAGGTACTACTACTCACCAAAGTAGGATATAGAACAATGTCTTTGGGTGGCGTGTTATGCCAATCGAGCTTGATGTCCACAGGTGAGGAATTTTCAAGTGTCGCCCACGTGCCTACTCTCATTACACATTCACACCAGCAAACAGTGCCTTCTTTCCTTCTTTGGAAATACCTCAGTGGAAACGTGGTGCTGCATTCAAAATCCCACCAAATTTTCAACATTCTGTTCAGCAGTGAAAGAAAAGGAAGACCCATTAGAACCTCTGAGTATAACTCGAAATGTTGTCAATTTAAAATGTAAAAATAAAAAAAAAATACTTTAACAGTTTTAAGATCGAAGATAAGTAACATCTTAAAACTTGATTGCCTACTTGTTGGAAGGTTCTTGTTGATGGGCGATACTAAATTTTTTAAGTCTTTCCTTTTTCTGGCTAAATATGTCACATTGTGTCACAGTATGTCCCCTACATAAGGGGTTCCACACAAACTTGCCACTCGCGATTTTGCACGAAACGACCCCCAGGTCAGAGGGTGCCCCATGAAGTACCAGAAGGGGCTCCAGCAGCCTTAGGCTCCTGGGGCCTCTTGAAACCGAAACCGTTAAGTAAAAAGGCGACTTTCACAGGAGCAAGGTAAGGTGGAAAGAGTTTACCTGATCCTTCTATTTAAACATACCTACCATTTTTCTGCACATAACAACAACAACAAACCATTTTTCCTAGGAGCTCTGGTGGTGCAGTGCCTAAGGCATCTGACTGCTAACTACAGAGTTGGCAGTTCAAACCCACCAGCCAAGCCTCTGGAAGGAAGATTGGGCAATCTACATCCCTAAAGACTTACCGCCTGGGAAACCCAATGGGGGTCGCTATGAGTCAGAATCCACTCGATGGCAGTGGGTTTGGGGTTTTGAAATGTTCTTCCTAACTTTTTTTTTTCCCTCCCCATCGTCCTATAGAGACCGCGCAGTCCCCTCCGGTCCCCGCTGCCCTCCACATAACCATTTTCAAAGGCTGGTGTCTGGTCGCAGGCGCGCAGGCCGCGGGGTGCCAGCCGCGCGCACCGAAGGGGTCGGCGCAGGGCCGTCCGGACTGGGGCAGCGGGTGTGTTGACACGGTTCTCCACGCGAGGCTGATGTAACCAGCGGCGGCAGCAGCCCTCCCGGGGGAACGTGAAGCTGCATGTTTTCAGCCGCCTGTTAAAACGCCGGCTGACTGGTTTCCAAGCTTCCTTCTCTTTCTCCTCGTGTGTGTTTCGCAGACTCCCGCCGGCGTGGAGCCGCGCGGGTTCCCTTCCCCGAAGGGATGGGGAAACCCGGCAGCCCCGGGTGTGCTCCGCTAGCTACCTCCCTTCTTCAGTGTTTCTTGTGGAAACACTCTGTTCTTTTCACGGTGCGTCCTTGAGCCCCCACCGCAGCAGCCCCCGCGCCGCTCCCCGCTCCCCGAAGGAACCTCGGGTGTCACCCCCGGGGGGCGCCTGCCTGCCCTGCAGCCCGCCCCGGGCAGCGAGCGCCTCCCGAAAGGAAATACACAAATGGCCGTGTCCCCGAGGGTCCCCAGGGTCCCCGGGTCCCCCGGGGCTGGGCGCAGGCGCACGGTCAGCGTGGCTCCGGGAGTCCCTGCCGCGGGGGGCGGGCCAAGGTCCCCGGGGCGCGCTGTGGGGCACCTGCGGCCTGGGCGGGCGGG